AGCTAATAGAAGATTTTGAAGCAGAAGAGGAAATTTCAGAGTACACAGGTTTGAGAAAATTTTGATTTTCATGAACATAATTTGAGCTAGAATCTAAATGTAATGACCTTGAGTTGTTCATAGAAGATTTAAGATCAAGATTTAACAATGACTTGGTGAGTTCAAAGGTAGAATCTGTAGGTCTAAGGTTAAAGTTGGGACACATGGAAGTAGTGCTTGAATCGATCGAAGGATCAGGCGAAGAAGTAGTATTTTCAGATAAGTTCAGAGTATTGGAAAGATTATCAATACTATGCTTATCGATACTATGATTATCTATGCTATGCCTAGTAGTACTAAATGTACGTTTGCAAGAATCTTCGGACAATGAAGTTTGATGCAACGTTTGCTTAAAACTAAGAGTTTTGATTTGATTAGAATTATTTTGATTTCGATTTTCCTTAAGATTAACATTAAAATTATTAGAAGGGAGTTTTTGACCTTCTTTAGATGTGGGATCCGATTCAGGAGGATCTGAAGTAAAACTAGACTTAACATTACAGTCAGAATTTGAATGCGATTCGGAGTACGGCCTAATATCATGAGGATTTGTAGGAGAGTTTGACTTAAAACTAGAGTAAGAATATGAATGCGAATGAGCATTTGGCTTGAAATCATTAGGATTTGAAGCAGATTTTGACTTAAAACTAGAGTTAGAATTTGAATGTGAATCAGAATTCGAAGAAATATCATGAGGATTTGAGAGAGATTTGGACTTAAAACTAGAGTAAGAATTTGAATGAAGCAAATCAGAATTCGGCTCGATATGATGAGGATTTGAAGGAGATGTTGACTTAAAACTAGAGTAAGAATGTGAATGCGAATGAGCATTTGGCTTGAAATCATTAGGATTTGAAGCAGATTTTGACTTAAAACTAGAGTTAGAATTTGAATGCGAATCAGAATTCGAAGAAATATCATGAGGATTTGAAGGCGAATTTGACTTAAAACTAGATTGAGAATTTGAGTGCGAGTTCAAAGGCCTCAAATTATTAGAATTTAAAATATTTTTTGACTTAAGACTAGGTTCAATATCTGTATCAGAATTTGATCCAAAGTTTGAAGGAGAATTTGAATTAATACTATCAAAATTCGTATGAGAATTTGAATCAGGGTTTGAATAACGACTTGACTTAAAACTAGAATGAAAATTTGAATTTGAGGAAGTGATCGACTTAAAAGTAGTTTTAAAATTTGAATCAGGATTTAATCGATGATCTGGAGTTTCGAAAGAAAAAGAATCAGGATTTGATGTAAAATTTGATTCAGGAACAAAAATAGAAGTACAGTTGGAAATGGAATTTGAAAGTTGATCGAGATTTGAATCATATTTGTAGCTTGATAAAAATCCTACATTCCTATTTGGATATGCGAATTTTGAGTTAGAAATTGAAGATGTTTTCTTTTGCTTCTGCTTGTTCAGAGTCTCCATAAAAGTTTCTAAATTTTCAAATGAGTCTTCTGGAATTTTATTTTTAATAACTGGAGGTAACTTTTCACTTATGACTAGAAAGAAGCATACTGCAGCTTGCTCGGAAAGGGCGTTTTTGACGAAATTAAATACACAAATTAAGAAATCATATTCGTTTTCAGTAAGTTTTGAAATTCTGGGAGAAACCATTTCTATTAATCTTCGACAATATTGAGGTTCATCCGTGGAGAATGCACAAGGAGGTTTAGCATCAGAGATAGTGTCTACATTCAGACTTACCCAAATTTTACAATTTAAATGATTATGTTCTGTAGTTTGACACTGCGGACAGTACTTACCAAAATTTTCCCGTAACTTAGACTTTAAATCACTCTGAAAGTTGTAAATTAAAGCATGCTTGAGAGTTTCCCAAGAATTGATGGAATTTGCGTTTAATTTATGGCTAAGATTTGAAGCTAATTTTGGAATTAAAATTTGAGAGACTACTTGCTCTCGAAGCAAAGGCTTGGTAAAATAAATGATAGTTTCACATGATTCAACGAATTCGCCATAATTGTGTCTGTCACCACCGGAAAACGAGGGAAGAATAACACTTAGAAAATGCGATGGGTTTTCTAAATTACACATGTTGCACAAAATTTCGATGAGCTTTGAAACGTTGAACTTTGGGCGGTGTGGTCTTGGCCGTAGTGTATCCAGAAAATGTTTAGTTTCGATAAACTTCGCGACGATGCAGTCCTGATGGAAGTATGTCCAGAAAATAGGCGAAGTGCTCGGATGTCCGTCTTCTCATCCTCTTTTCGACTGCCAGACGACTGCCAGAATGGTTGGGAGAGTTCTTTTTCAAGGGAGTAGTTCTTTTACCGACTGCGCCACTGTAATGTTCTGGTGCTGGGCCAGTGTACGTAGGTGTACCGTGGTGGTACCGAATATGGGTATGATGAATGAACGAAAAGACAACTACAGGTATCGTGGGTACAAACTATGTATAAGTCGATAGGCGTACAGTGAGGTGACAACAAATCTAACTGCTATGTGACTATGTCAGGAGGTCGCGATCCCGGCGCGGCGTGGTGGCCCTAGCGATGCCAAAATCAGAGTGTCGGTCTACTGTCTCCTGGTTGCTGTTCAAGGGGATGATCATGATGAAGGGAAAGCCGGGAAAGAAACAGGTAGGGAATCATCCGTGCCAGGCGGTACCGGGCTAACGGGAGTTCCGAGGTCGCGGAATCGCGGACAAGGGAGGTGCCTGGCGCGGGGTTGAGAGGATGAAAAGGAGAGACAGGCGCCAGGCTGGTATAGATAGATATAGGCATGTTGGGGCACACAACAAGATAGTGAGTGTTGAGGCTGTAGCAGCCAAAGATTTTAGTCGCCCGGACTAAAATTT